GTGCCCTAATGAACTGAATGCTGGCCCATGAGGGTGTCATCTGGACGCCCAGCTGGATTCAGAGGTATTCTGTTTAACTGTGTGCTTGTGTCTGGCTGTGGTTATTGTTGCTCTGATGAACTGATTCTTGGCATATGAGGGTGTCAGCCTGTCCATGCTGATCAACCCGGCCAGGTCAGGCGTGTCATGTTAATCTGGGTGTTTGTGTGTATGACTGATTTGGGGACTGGAGGAACCCAGCCCCACTGAACCCGAGTTCTGCAAGATAGCTCCATCAGGGGTGAGGGCTTGTGGAAGGGAGAGATACAGCTCCGTATAGGAACACAAGTAATACAAGCAGCACATTAATAGAATTACCAAGACCCTAGAAATGTATCCCTAATAAATAAGCACACCCCAAAGTAATGGGCAAATCTGGTAACACTGCAGTGAGGGAGGCAGTGGGGCTAGGGTAGGTGCTGCCCAGCTGGGGTGGAGCAGGCACAGGACAGAGCCAGGACTCATCTGGGGAATGTGGGGGGGCAGCTCCTGCTGCTGCTCACACTGCTCATTTGGGAGGAGACAGGGGTGCCCCTGGGTTTGTGTGGGGTGGGCTGGGGCCATGCTGTGCTCAGGGCAGGCAGCATGGCACTGGAAGGGGGCTTCAGTAAAATCTGGGGTGGCTGCACCGAGCTCAAGCTCTTCATCATGAGATATGAAAACTTAGTTTATAAAAGCATGCCCACCTAGGTATTATTTATTCGACAATTCAAAATGTATTGCCATCTTCAAAAATCAGCTCAGAACAATCCATTCGTCTCTGTATCCATACCATACATCACCATGGTAAGCAGGTGGTGGCTGTAGAGTTTATACAAAATGAAAGCACTGAAAATACAAAAGCTTATAAAGTGAGTAATTTTACTCTTGGGAACAGTTACATTAAGATGAATGGCTTTACTCACATTCAGGAAGTTACACATATAACTGTTTTTAGGATCAGGGTCCACATACATCTGTGCAACATAAAATAGGAAGCTGCTAAACTGGGGGGGGGCAACCAAAGAGTATAAAGGACACTACTCATCTCTTTCTGGTATAATAGCACATTTTACTGCTCCTGTGTTACTAATTCAAATACTATAAGCTGCAGGCAACTGAAGTGTGTTATCCAGCTCTGGTAAGACCAGATCTAATCCAGCTCTAGTACGGTGGCTAAAACTCACAAGGACCGTTCTGAAGTGAGGTGGAAAAAAAACTAGCTTTTAGACACTGATGTAGATGTGCCACACTAAATTAACTATACAGAGCATGCCCTTATTATGATAGCCCAGGGGAAAATGGCATTTGCCTAGCCAAATTATACCTTAGAGCGTCCACCTGCACACACGTAGAAAATACTGAAAGCTAAAGCCCACTGTCCTGACAGAACAGAGGGACACGTTCATGGCCTAGAGAAGCAGGGCTGGAAGAGCCCTCCAGAGGTCATCTGGTGCCTAGTCCAAACCCCTGGCAGAGGCAGGATCATCCCTATCCAAACCATCCCATACAAACCATCATCTAAAGTTTACATAAGCAGAGACTTATGTCTTAGCAGGCCAGGGACCAGAGTATTCACTGTCCCTGCCCCGCAGGTGGCGTTTGAACTCAAAAGCATCTACTTGCTGCTGCCCGAGCAGGACGACTTGAGGAGAGTTCAGCTGCTTGTTGGTAGGTGTTAGGTAGCCGCCATGTGTCCGCTTAATAAAACAAGCCCAGGCCCCCTGGATCTGCCTGCGGTTTGTTGTTTTGGGAGCCAAACCCGGCGGGCGCGCCAGGCGCCGGGGCCGTGGAGGGTCGGGCAGGGGCGGCGGCTGGTCCCGACCCAGGGATCCCGCAGCCCCCCGCGGGGCCAGCCCGGATCCAACCCTGAGCCCCTGCAGCGGGTCCCCAAGCGGGGACGAAGGGGCAGGGGGGCCCCGGCTCCAGCCCAGCCTTCCCCCCGCCCCGGCCCCGGGGCCCTCACCTG